ATCTTTATGTGCCATGATTAGACAGTGGTTGGTGTGCACTCTGTCCAGAGTTATCCTGTCATGGCTCATCTTAAATAGTGTACTTACAAAGAGGCAGATTAGTTAAAACACACTTATCACCAGACATCAGACAAACATGCAGTTATTTTCTCATTAGGTGGTAGACATTTGGTAGAGAAGATCCTCCCAATCGATGTGACGTCTTGCCCCTGAGGAGTAGCCAGACCTGAAAGTTGACGGATAAAATTGTGAGGATTGTTTTGATTTGGTACCAAAATATCCAGACTGAATACAGGTCTTTGGTCCAGCTGAGGTATTTGTGTGGTTTTATTCTTTTGCAATCAAATGTTCAAGTCTAAATCTGAATCTCTGAGTCTGCGTTTGCCTTCAGTAAAAACACATTTCTTTCATAGTGATAGACAAGTTAGTTAATCTAATCTAATTTAAAAAGTTTTAATTGATATCTTTTAGGGTCTCTCCACGTAAATGTAACAGTTCAGACAATCAATTAATTCTTACGTTCAGGGATTGAGAAGTGATTACATTATATACATATGAACACTTCCAACTAATAATACATTTGTGAATAGCAAAACAAATCTTTGACAATTCATAGGTTCTGCTCTTTATAACAAACAAATCTACACAAAGAAAAAAGGAGTGACACAACTGCAACTTTGTGTTTTCATTTATTGCTTTCACAGCTTCAAAACAAGCATAATCACTACTTTCTTTTACTATAGATTCTCTTAAATAATTCATTCAGTAAAAAATAAATCAGAATCATATCAATATCTTGCAATGAGATGTATTCCTTTTCTACAAATGTCTAATAATATCTTGCTTAAATGTACACTGACCAGAGTCAAAAAGGAAAACAGTAGGATTCACTGATCTATATTTAATCAAATATACAGAAGTTTGTTTTTTGGATTGGTTGTATAGGCACAAAAAAACTTTGTGGATCTTGCTTTTGCACATGGATTATAAATTTGAGTGAATTGCCCAGTTCCCCCTCCAATGCAGGCTTAATATACATTAGAAAAAGACACATATAATGACATCATTTAATAATGTGCTACTTTGGGCTTTTAAAACAGTGCAAAACAGTTTATAAATAGATATGAGAACACATGCACTGCTTTGTAGAAATGCCTGCATCATACTTGCATGTCCGAGGCCGGGATAACAGCAGATAATCCTCAAATCTGCGTGTAATGATATTTTGCCCAAACAAGCATGTGTGAGGCGTTCTGTTAGCTTAACATTTTACAGTAGGTGCACATCAGTGACTGCAAGAATAATATTAATGCACATTATTTAATGAAATCTGTAGTATGTTTGATGCTGTAATTATATTACAGCGCAATTCTCCAAAACCCCTGAGTCACACTTCAGAGAAGACAGGCATACAGCTAAGGATACGAAAACAATTCTCAAACACTGGAAACAATGTACTGTRTTAATAGTTGCTGAAAATAGTCTTTTTAAAAATGTAACCCACACAAGCTTTAGGCTCGAAACAGGCGATAACTTTAATGACCTGGTTCAACAGTGACGGCTGAATGTGTGTGTGTGTGTGTGTGTGTGTGTGTGTGTGTGTGTGTGTGTGTGGACAGGATCATGCAGTACCCTCCGTCCCAGGAGAGGAAATTCACAGTATGCATTTCCACAGCCTTGTCACAGCCTCGGTGTCAGGTGCTATGCAACAATTTTAGAAACTGGGGAAAAAGAATAGCTGCATCATCGTTTTATTTTTTTATTTTATTTTATTTTTCCTGCTGCAACAAAGTCACCACCTTCTACTTTCAGGTACACAAAGCAATGCCAGGCTTTGCTTTGGCTCACACCCTTGTTTCAAAGTCTCAGGCTGGATAGGGTCAACTGTCTGAACAAACATCTGCGCTCGCTAGCTGCCAGCCTGAYTTGAAAAGATTAATGGGCTGTCACCATTCAGAACATATAATCTTTAGTGGAAGCTTACACTTTTTTTTCCCCTCTTGCCTGTGTTAGAGTGTTTCAAAACAAGAGATGCACATTAACGATTTCTGCAGTAGCTGCAGAACAAATGAATTACATTCTACATTTTGACATTTTCTTTTCTCATACAGGATTGAAAATGTTGGAAACAAGTAAAAAAAACCTTTAACATTTGAGGATGAACGTCTGTGGCCTTCTGGGACAACTGCTCTAAAAGAAAAAAAAAACTATAAGTAGCAGTTTGGTGGTTAACAAGTCCAGCAGCTGATATTTGTGCTTTTCCTATGGCCCAAACACAGATTTAGCTATAACTCTTACAGATACTGACTTAAAATGTGGTGTGGTGGTAGCTGAGAGTCGYCTGCAACACATATTCTGATCACCAAAGATCAATGTTTAAAACTTTGGCTTGCAGGCAATAGGCATTCTTTCAAAAACTATTGGTTCATTTAAAGTGGTGTCCTGTTAAGTCGTCATCAGAAATTAATATCTTACATGCAGTAAAATAAAACATAACTTTATTAGTTAGGGATTAGGCAGAATCTCAAGAAAGACATGCTAATTGTTAGCTACATGAATAGTTATGCTAAAGACTGAGTTCATCTGTAATTTGCTACACTGCAAAAATGGTCAATCCAACCAAATCTTTCAATCTGCTAAATACTGTTAAAGCATTTTTTGATCTTGTTGCAATTGATATATTAAGCAAGAAGCAGGGTTGTTCTGAACTGTAATTTCCCTTAATGGTATCAATAAAGTATCATTCATTCATTCATTCATTCATTCATTCATTCATTCATTCATTCATTCATTCATTCATTCATTCATTCATTCATTCATTTATTCAAATATTCTGAATTGAATTAAACAATTGAATTAAACAATTACACTTGGTAAGACTTCTTGAAGTAAGGAACATTTCCAGGCTAACAAGATTAATAATTAACATAATCGGCAGTTGCTTAGTATATCAATCTCAACATAAGATCAAAAATGTTTTTGGGCTGGATTTAAGATTGTAAAACTTGGTTAGATGGATAATCTTTGCAGAGTACCAGGAAAGGTTTAAGGTTTTGCACTGTGTTACCCTTGAATCTATGCTAAATGTGTTTTGCAACATAAGCTTCACATTAGTGGTAACTTATCAATCCACTCATGGATGTCTATGTAAAAAAATGCCTAATGCAAATGTGGCTAAAAAGTAAAGGTTATGATAAAATAGAGTTATTATAAGCCAGTCAAAAATTGGAGTTAAGATGGCTGCAGTCCACTTTGGAGCTGACCCACTCAGACTACCCATTAACTTGTCTCCCTTGAGAAAATCTCTTTGATAGTCCACACCAAGTGCCTTCTACTGCAGGTAAGACACTGACCATCAATAATTCCATGGCATAGACCATTACTTTAAACTATTTGAATTGTCCCTTTACTGAAGACTGACTGTCTGTGTGGTGCTGGCTCTAYCTTTATTGTCTCCATTTGTCAGATCAAAAAGGGATTAAAAAAAGTCAGTTCTGGCAGTAAGACTATTTTTGGCGTAAATGTGGACACTCACCAAGCATGTTCATTTTTTCCACATTTTTAAATTGGACTATTGAGGATCAGCTGGCTATAGAGTCACCTCTGGTAATCTGTGTGTGTTAGTGGGTAACTAATACAAGAAGCAAATAACTGATGTGATGCACAGATGCCCCAGGTGCTGGTCTGGAMTTGTCTTATGTGAGGTAGATCAGTCTGTTCTTGTTCAGAGATGTTAGGATGAGACAAATCTATACCACTGTCAATGTAACCTTTTTGTTCTGCTCTGGTGAGTAAGARTGTTATTGGAGACCTATTGAATGAGGAGAACAGATTTCAATGCAATAAGTGATGTGGTGTTCCAACTTTGTGACCAATGGTATGTGTGTGAGGAGTGAGGACATTAAAAGCTATAGAACAGTCACAGAAAGAAGCCCATAAGAGTGCAGAGCTTTGCTGAAACAGAAAGTTGATTAGGTTTTTAAGATGACTCTGTATTATCAAAAGCATCCCTGAATTTAAGAAGTGGAACAAGTGCTGTCCACATACAGGGGTTCCACTGGGCTGAAGAGGTTCAGAGGAAAGCACTGATCATCCTCCTGTACATTTGTGAAATGAAAATGAGTCATGGTTACTGATTTGTTCCAGCTTAGTTTTTAAACTGACATCCGCTGAGAACTGTTTCCTTTCCTTCTTAAATGCAAAACAAAACAAAACAAAACAAAACAAAACAAAACAAAACAAAACAAAACAAAACAAAACAAAACAAAACAAAACAAAACAAAAAAAAACTATGCTTAATCCACATGCACGATAAAATGAAAATCTTATTTCAATAACATAGCCACTGTGAGTTAACAAGACAGATGGCTGTGCCAGCATGCTGATTAAAACAAACAAAAGTGCTACATAGTAATTACAGCATTATAACCCCAGTATCAGAATGTGCTGCTCCTGAAAAGGTTTATGGCCTTGGAAAGTTTGGATCTGAGACGAGTCTGTGGCGTCGCTCGATGCTGTGGCTGGGGTCAGAAGGCGACGCAGAGGAGCAGGAGGCAGAAGAGGTTTCAGCTGGAGGAGGAATCAGTGCTGACTGTTGGTGTACCGTGATCTGTTGCTGCAGCTTATGCTTGTCTGCATGTCTCTGTTTAAAAACGGCTGCTGCAAGGCTGTCTTCGACAGGCGCATTCACAATGGCCAAACTGTGAACAGAGTCTTTGGATTCTTGAATGGCACTCTCCAGTTTATGGCTGGGACCCTGAGAAGATACATAAAGTAAGTTGTTGTATACATTTGGTAAATAGAAGAAAAATAATGTGATTTGTTTTGGTATAAAACGTCTTGTAATAAAAAAACAGCATACTTGAGTGCTGGCATGGCTGAAAAGATGGCTTGCAGTCGAAGCAACTGGCTGAACCTTCGCAGCAGGTCTTTGATAGTCTGGACTGGCAGTCACAGTGCTGTAGGCAGGGGGTCCGAGAGTCGGCTGTCTCTGCAGCATTTGCAAGATGGTTTGAATATCTGAGATCAGCTGTGACTCCAACCTTTAACAAAAAATCCAAACAGTTAGATGTGCTGTGAGACAGACCTAGCTTTTAACTCAAAAAAGCTCATAAAAACATTTCATCCAAAAACAATGAAAACCACAAGCATTCCAATCAGAAAGTAAATTTTACACAAAAGGGCATCAATAGTCTGTAAATACATTAGAGCAAATCAGTAAACATGTTTTGATCCTTTTTTACTTAAAGGGGCAATATTATGTGTTTCTCAGACATACATTTAAATTCTATACCATAATAAAAATAACTATGTCACCTTCAGTTGTTATTAAAATGTTGTTTATGTGTTTAAATAGAAAATAAACTTGACTTATCATATTGGTTTCTAAACACCTTGAAATTGGCCCACCCATTTCAGCATGGTGCTGTGTGTGTGTGTGTGTGTGTGTGTGT